AGTACAGATATTTTATGGGTTCCACTGAAATAAAGGTAGCTGATTACGAGAAAGATCTCGGTATGTATGTTGATACTTCCATATCCCACTCTCGCCAATGTGGGGAAGCAATAAAAAAGGCGAACAGAATGTTGGGTTATATCTCTAGGTGTGTGCAGTTTAAGTCAAGGGAAGACGCTGTGACCACTGTTCTCCATACTGTCCTGTCCCATCTGGAGCAGCAGGGAAGCTATGCACAGCTGCTCTTCATAGACTTCAGCTCTGCGTTCAATACTATCCTCCCCCATACACTGGTGACCAAACTGTCAGACATTGGACTTCCACACTCCACCTGTCGTTGGATCAAGGACTTTCTGAGTGACCGCACTCAGAGGGTTAGAGTGGGCCCCTACTACTCCACACCTATCAGTATGAGCACTGGCTCTCCACAGGGCTGTGTGCTGAGCCCCCTGCTCTATACTCTATACACCCACGATTGCATTCCTGCCCACCGCAGTAACAATATTGTCAAGTTTGCTGACGATACCACTGTCGTAGGGCTTATCTCAGGGGGAGATGAGTCTGCCTACAGGGACGAGGTGGAAAAACTGACAGCGTGGTGTAGTAATAACAACTTGCTCCTTAACACAGTAAAGACTAAGGAGCTCATCGTGGACTTCAGGAAAAAGGCAGAAAACATCCAGCCATTCATCATCAATGGGGACTGTGTGGAGAAGGTCTCAGACTCCCGCTTCCTGGGAGTCACCATCAGCGAGGACCTGACCTGGGGGACACATACTTCAGAGGTTGTGAAGAAGACCCAAAAGAGACTGTACTTCCTGAGGGTTCTCAGGAAGAACTACATCCCAGAGAAACTGCTGGTGTCCTTCTACCGCTGCACAGTAGAGAGCATTATGGTCTACTGTCTCTGTGCATGGTTCTCCAGCTGCACAGTGGCACAGAGAAAAGAGCTCCACAGGATTATTAAGGTCGCTCAGAGGATAGTTGGCTGTCCTCTACCCTCACTCGAAGAACTTCACAGCTCCTGTTGTCTCAGGAACGCAAAAAAAAAAATTTCAGGACCCATCACACCCAGGCAGACGTTTCAGATCCATAAAAACTAAAACAAACAGACTAAGAAAAACAGACTTTAAACA